GAACCTACCTTGATGAGTTTTATCTTGTGAAAAATTGTGGGGAACATTCTTACGTGTTGTTCATTTTCTCTATACTTACTACTTGGCCTGAACTGTGTTAGAACACTTGCATAAGCATACACATAGTTATCGCTCCTATTGGTTTAAGAAGATGGATCCTCATATTACTGAGTGTTGATACACACCCTTGTATATTTGCCTTCTATGTGAGAACGGTCCTATTGACACGTGAGTCGTCCGTGTAGGTACCAATTGGAATGTGGGCACAAGATGCCAAGTATTAAGGGGTCACGAATTGGAACCCGTGACCTGTGAATATTTTGAGGTTTGGTAGCTCGTGGAGATTATTGGATAAATCTGGTGTGAAAGCGGTTATTCTTGTCGAGATGCTACTTGTTCTTCCTTTGTTTGTTTTTCCTAGAATTTAGACCGTGTTCAGCTTATTCTACTGTGTTACTCCTTGTTGTGTTCCGCTGCTAATTGTTTCTTCTATTTCTTATTGCAAGAAGTGTATTATTATTGTCATCAAGCATAGTTTTGTAGAGATATCGTACTCTGTTAGTTCTCCACTCATACTTGTCCAGGTTATCTAGTCCAATAGGTGTCTTGATTGTCCTCGTCACTACTCCACAGAGGTTAGTCTTAATGCTTACTGGGTATCACATTGATGTACTCATACTACGCTTCGTCACAATTTTTGTGCAGATCCAGGTATTTCGGAGTCAGTCGATCGCTACCTAGCTATACGGATCTTGCTGTGGAGACTCAAGATAAACCTGATGCTGCGTTCGCAGTCTTCGGAAGCACCTTCTAACGTTGTATTTACACTGTTTATCCTTATTTCTAAACAATTGTAGGGGTTTTCTAGCAAACTCAGTTGAGCTTATGACTTGTACTACCGGTTTTGGATTGTAAACTTTGTAGCGTGATTTCCTCTTTGCACTTGTCAATCGTTATTTATTATTATTATTAATTCAGTAAATGTTAGGCTTACCTAGTCCCTAAGACTAGGCTGCCATCACGACCTCCTACGGAGGGAGATTTTGGGTCGTGCCATTAATTTTGATCGAGTATTTAGAGATAAAATCTTTTGGTTTTTGAAATAAAAATTTACATATTTAAAATTACATAAAAAGTACTATAAGTTACAACAACAACAATAAAGCATGAGCACCAGGAAAGCCCAAGCACCCTATTAATGAAAAATAGAGAGGTTATTTCTAATAGACCCCCGGCTTAGGAAAGCATGAGCACCACATTAATGAAAAATATAAACAAGAACAGACAGTACCAAAAAGCCATATAAAAGCAGAATAAAAACAACAAGATAGTAAGGTGATCAACAATGAAAGAAAAAAATGATTAGTCATAAAAACCTATTACCAATAGAAAGCGAGACGCGTGCCAATACTACTGTTATGAACACTCTAGACTACCTGCTCTACTACCCTAACCTTCGACCTCCATACATTCCTATCAAAGGTCATGTCCTCGGTCAGCTAAAGTTGCGCCATGTCTTGCCTAATCACCTCTCCCCACCTCTTCTTTGGCCTACCATTACCGCTCTGTAGGCCCTCCAATGTCAACCTCTCACACCTCCTCACCAGAGCGTCTGTGCTCCTCCTCCTCACATGACCAAACCACCTAATCCGCGCTTCCGGCATCTTGTCCTCAATAGGGGCCACACCCACCTTGTCGCGAATAACCTTATTTCTGATCCAATCTAACCTGGTGTGCCCGCACATCCATCTCAACATTCTCATCTCTGCTACCTTCATCTTATGGACTTGAGCGATCTTGACTGGCCAACACTCAGCCCCACACAACATCGTTGGCCTGACCACCATTTTGTAGAACTTACCTTTAAGTTTCGGTGGTACCTTTTAGTCATACAAAACACCATAAGCGAGTCTCCATTTCATCCATCCCGCCCCAATACGATGCATGACATCTTCATCAATCTCCTCATCCCCCCTGAATAATAGACCCAAGGTACTTAAAACTTCCTCTCCTAGGGATGACTTGTAAGTCCAGCCTCACCTCCCCTTCCCCTCCTTGAGCCTCGCCACTAAACCTACACTCCAAGTATTCTGTCTTGGTCCTGCTCAACTTGAAACCTTTAGACTCCAGGGTCTGCTTCCATACCTCTAATTGCGCGTTCACACCGTCTCGCGTCTCGTCAATCAATACAATATCATCTGCAAATAGCATGCACCACGACACCTCCCTTGAATGTGGCGTGTCAGTACGTCCATCGCCAGAGCAAACAAAAAAGGGCTGAGGGCCGACCCCTGGTGCAACCCCATCATAATCAGAAAATGGTTCGAGTCCCCACCCACCGTCCTCACTCGGGTATTTGCTCCATCAGACATGTCCTTAATCAACCTAACGTAGGCAACAGGTACACCTCTAGCCTCCAAACATCTCCACAAAACCTCCTTCGAAACTTTTCTAAGTTGATGAACACCATATGCAAGTCTTTCTTTCCCTCCTATACTGCTATATCAATCTCCTAACAAGGTGGATGACTTCTGTAGTCGAACTCCCTGGCATAAACCCGAACTGGTTCTCGGAAGTAGACACACTCCTCCTCACCCTTAGCTCTACCACTCTCTCCCAGACTTGCATAGTATGGCTAAGCAGCTTGATACCCCGATATTTATTGCAATTTTAGATATCACCCTTGTTCTTGTATACAGGAACCATCGTGCTCCACCTCCACTCTTCGGGCATCTTCTTCGTTATAAAGATGACAGTAAATAACCTAGTGAACCACTCCTAGCCTGCCTTGCCCGCACTCTTCCAAAACTCCATCTGGATTTCATCCGGCCCGGTCGTCTTTCCCCTGCTTATCTTACACATAGCTCCCTCAACTTTATCAACTCTAATCCGCCTAGAATACCCAAAGTCACAACGACTCCCGAAGAGTTCCAAATCACCCAGTACAATGCTCATGTCCCCCTCCTCGTTCAAAAGACTATGGAAGTAGGTCTACCATATCCGATGGATAAGCCCCTCATCTAATAAAACTCTACATTCTTCGTTCTTGATGCACTTCATTTGGTCCAAGTCACGCGCCTTCCGTTCTCACGCCTTGGCTAACCTGAACAACCTCTTATCCCCACCTCGGCCCCTGAGTTCCTCATACAAACGACTAAAAGCTGCAGTCATGGTTGCCGTAACTTCTAGATTTGCCTCTTTCTTACCTAACCTATAATGCTCCCTATTTGTCATCTTCTTCTTCTCGTCTACACTTTCCACTAGCTTCAGATATGCTGCTTTCTTGGTTTCCACTTTTCCTTGCACCTCTCTATTCCACCACCAGTATCCCTTGTGACCGCAAGTGTAACCCTTTGAGACCCCTAATACCTCTCCCACGGCTTCCTTAATGCATTGCGTAGTCGTGGTCCACATAGCGCTTGTGTCCCCACTACTCCTCCAAGCCACCATAGTCAACAACTTGACCCCCAATTCTTGCGCTTTAGCTTCCGTCAAGGCTCCCCACTTAATCCTATGTTGGTTATACATCGCCCTTCTCCTCCTCTTCTTCGTGATCTGTAGGTCCATGACCAGGAGCCTATGAAGGGTCGAGAGGTTCTCACTCGGGATGACCTTGCAATCCGTGCAAAGACCTCTATCGGACTTCCTACAGAGTAAATAATCCATCTGAGTCTCGGCCACCGAACTCCGAAAGGTGACCAAGTGATCCCTCTTCTTCGGAAGTTTTCTGTCACCAAATCAAATGCTCTAGCAAAGTCCAGCAGAGACGTTCCTCCTCCGTTTCTATCTCCAAGACCAAAGCCACCATGCGCATCATCATACCCCAGACGTCGCTCCAATGTGGTCGTTGAAATCTCCTCCTATGAAAAGCTTTTCGGTACGCGGATACCACCCACCATCTCATCCAAATCCTCCCAGAAACGCCTCTTGACTTCCTCATCCAAGCCTGCTTGGGGTGCGTATGCACTGATTATGTTCAAAATAAAACTTCCAACAACTAGCTTAATAGTCATCAATCTGTCATTCACCCTCCTAACCTCCACCACTAGTTCACGGAGTTCATTATCAACCAGGATACCTACCCTTTTCCTTCCACCAACCTCCCAGAATACCATAGTTTGAACCTGTCCACAGCCCGCGCCTTATCTCCCACCCACCTATCTACTGTACACAAGCTATATTAATATTCCTTTTCTCGAGAATCTTCGCTAACTCTACAGATTTTCCAGTCAAAGTTCCTATGTTCCAAGAACCCACTCTCAGCCTAGTAGCTCCCTTAGCCCTCTTACCCCCCGCACCCCTTCCCCCGCGCTGACACCCTAGAGGCTGGGTCAGTAACTAGGCCGGGTAGACTTTCATGCTCCCAGTACGTTGTCCCCACCTCGGCTCGAGCTGTCCGCTTGGGTAAGCCAGGTCTAAAACACTCCCCCAGGATTTAAACCTAGAATAACATAGCCTCATGCCGGATCCCTAGTAGGTACGTTCGTTTGCATCATGTGCATTTGATTTAGGAGACTCAACACATGGGTTGGGTCTGTCTAGGACAGGTCTACCCGAAATTAAAAAGACCATCCTGATGCATCTTACATGCTACTTGTACATTATTGGTTGGGCTTGCATGTTTAATGGCTTTTAGAATAGGAATCAAGAAAAATCAAGAGAGGGAAAATAAGAGTGAAATTCACCCGATTCTCATAAAATTCCTGTGTTCAAAAATTAATAATTAATAATTAAAAATATTTAAAAAGCAAATAAAAAAATTATAATAAAAGAATAATTTATTTGACTCTCGAAATCCTAACATTGTCTTGAGAAAGAGGACATAAATTGTTTTAATATAAACATATTATTTATGAAAAAAATAATATATCCTTTTTTTCAAAGTAAATAAAAATTTACATGTATAACTTTTATGGAAAAAGTTGAATGCATTGACTATTGTAGAAGAGGTAATTATATTGTGGTTCAAGAATGAAATATAAAAAGGTGGACTAGCGTCCAGGGTATTTCTTTCTTCAGATTCTCTCTCATCAATTCGATAAGAGAGAAGAAAAGTACCCATTTGCTGGCTCTCACGCTAACCTGAGATCACACAAATCCTCTTTTTTTCTTCAGCTCTTTTGTGCCCTCTCACTTAAGCAGGTTTCATTCTTTTTTTGTTTTTTTGCATAATTTTTATTTTTATGTACTTATAGTTATACACCCTTTTGTAGATTCAGTGATTTCTGATGCTTTGATTGTTTTTTTCCAGATCGCATAATCGATCAGTTTTACTGTCAGTTGCTTTTATCTTTTGAAAACCCTTTATTTTGCTGATTATTTCAACGAGTTTTCAAGTTTTTTTTATCAAAGAATTCTGGTTCTTGATTGTGTTTTTGATCTGAGCTAATTGTTTTTCCTGTTTGTTCTTCTTGTATTATAGTTAGTATTTTCTGGGTTTGTTTCAATTTAACTTTCCAAAGACTATTTGCTTATTGATTAGCTTAAAGTTTGAGTCTTTTACTTGGGTCATAGTTTGTTCTGCTAGGTTTTAAAATCTTTAGATATTGGTTAGTTTTCTTATGGGCCAAACTGTTGTTTTGCTATTTGTTAAAAAATTATGCTTTATGTGCACCCAAATATGAAGATGTTCGATAGAATTTAATTTTTCTTATGATTTTTGACTTTTTATTTATTTATTTTGTATGATATTGGTATAAGATGAGCTTTAATGGGACAACATGGTCAGTGAGTATTCATATAGCCGAACCCAACTTGCTTGGGGTTTCCTGGTTGTTGTTTGTATTTGTGACATTTTTTCATAGACCAGAGTTGGTTACAGGTCCTTCTGTCAAGCCTACCTGTGCTAAAATCAATAGGATAATTCTTACCGAATAGTATGGTTAAATGATTTTACGAATTACCAGGGGATATATAGGTGAATAGGTGATCTTGAGAGTTGAGAATACAAAATGTGAACCATTTTTTTTGTTATTCTACTTCAAGGTAAATGTTTGCTCAGAAGACCCATTTTTCCAATTCAGTAGGTGCTCCTGAAATCTTTTTTAGATTATGCAAGGAAATGATATTCGGGTGTTCATTGATATAACTGCAGAAAATCTTATGTATCTGCAGGTTGTTATTGTTGTTAAGAAAGAAAAAGAACTGATGGGAAAATAGTCTAATGTACTTCGAATGATCTTTCGTGCTCCGATTATGTTAATATGTTTTCTCTTGTAGGGACCATGATTAAGTTGTTTAAAGTAAAAGAAAAGCAGAGAGAACAAGCTGAGAATGCAAATGGAAAGCCACCAGTCAAGAAACAAAGTGCAGGAGAGTTGCGTCTTCACAAAGGTGGTTTTTTTTCTATTTCTCTTGAACTTTAAAGTTAACTGGTGCTTTAACCATTTATCATCTTGCAAGTTGTTTCTAGTGAGTGCTTTATGCATGACAGATTGGTCACCAATTGCCCTCTATTGGTGAGATATCCTGAGTTTTGAACAGGTTAACTAGTGATTTAACCATTTTGCATCTTGTGAGATAATTTTACTACGTGCTTCTTGCATGGCAACTCGATAACTAGATATCATGAAGTAGTCTTAGATTGTCTTGGTTGTATTGAAAAGTGGAAGGCAAGAAAGAGGGGAAATTACATGACATGGGTTAGTGTACATTTACTTTTAAAAAAAAGGCTTATATTACATTTTCCTTTTCGGTTGGTTGAGACCACATCAACTCTTTTTACCAACCTGAAATTGGACTGAATGGAGGAAGTAATCTATCTCCTAGCTTTTGAGTATGACTTTCACTTGCACATCAAGTCGTAACTAGACTGATGGCAAGAAAATAATAATCAATCAGTTTCCTTTCTTCTTTCTAATTCCTCTTGTTGCCAAATGTAGTATTGTTTTTTTGTTGGAGGAGCTCCAAAACCCTGTGTACCTATGAGCGGTCTTGTATCTCCGCATTCTTGTGGCAGTATTCCTTCCAGGCCATTTAATAGAAACTTTACGGGTCTGCTTTGTTCCAACTGATGGTTTTAGAGTAAACATCCTGGTAGGATAGAATTATTGCTAAGGTTGTGGCACCCAATAAGGAGAAAGTAAGATTTAGGCTCTTAAGACTTATTGAAAAGGTTTATGTTTGTGATGTATATTTTCTTGGAAATGATATCGTTCTTCTCCCATATAACTTGTCTCAAGAACTGTGGGAAGTATATGCACAATGAAGAACTGTGTGTTGGAAGTACTTGAAAAATATCTCAGGCAGGGAGGAAGTGTAGGTGGCTATCAGTTCATGGAAACAACACCGAGTTCTTACGTCTTCAGTTGATTTTGCTTATTTTTTGTTCAAGTGGGATTGGGTTTGTCGTCCTCCTGTTTTCTCCATTGATCCTCTCCCCACTATGCCTCATGCTGTTCTTCTCCATCTTAATTGAAGTGTGTGTAAAATTGCAACAACATTGCCCATCCTATTAAATGCCAAAGTAACACCTTCACATAAGTTGATCCCTCTTTTTTTGCAACAAATTTGCCTTCCCTGTTTTTCCATATTTTGATTTGAAATAAATATGGAATTTTGAAAATCTGAATTAGGTATAAATCTTTTGAGAAGTTGAATTAAGTCTACAAAGATATCTTGTTGCCCACCTCAAAGTTTTTCTTTTAGAAATTGTCAAGTGAATAGATATAGTTTCTTCTTCCTCCTCACTCTTTAGCTGCTAAACACACTGCAAAGTTTTAAGATGCCATCTTAATATCACGAACATCAATCATGGTTATCCAGAAATCTCCCATATATTACTTACAGAGGTTAAATCCATTTTTTGTCATTGTTCAACTTTTATGCTTCTCCTGGTGCATCCTTGGAGACAAGTGTTGATTTTTTCAGAACCTTTTTATATCCAAGTTCTCAATCACATACTGCTGTATATGATTATTACATTTGTGCACTCAAGCATAGAGGGGTGGAGATTTTGCTTGATGTGAGACAATAGCATGATAATTTATTTGCTTCTATTTCCTTTCTCTCTGAGCAAGCCCTCTTAGGAATTGCAGAATTTCTTGAAAAATTCTCTCTTGCTAGCAGCTTTCTGAAAGGAATTCTTTAACTACATGTATTATGTATCTCTTTGTACTAACTTCTATGCATTTATTTTCTCTAGCTCGTACTTTCTGCTATCTTCTGTCGTTAATCTTAGATTATGATGAGTAAACTTTTGTATCTTGTAGATATAAGTGAGCTAAATCTACCCAAAACATGTAGCATATCATTTCCCAATGGAAAAGATGACCTCATGAACTTTGAAGTCACCATTCGGCCTGATGAAGGATATTACATGTAAGTAATTTTGTTACAAACTTACCTATCAAATAAATGTGCAGCTATTTGTAGACCATCCGTTCTTCAAGTTTCTTACTTTTAAGAAGTAATTCCTGTCTTGCTAGTTCAACTTCATTCCCGCCTTTATGCTTTCTTATTAACAGGGCACATTGGTGGATTTAAATTAGCTTTCTTATTAACAGGCACGTTGGTGAATTTAAATTAGATTTCTGCGGTGATTTTATTGATTATTTGTTCTTTGTTGCCTGTATACAGGGGTGGCACATTTACGTTCTCTTTCAGCATTTCTCCAATGTATCCTCATGAAGCCCCAAAGGTTAAGTGCAAGACAAAGGTGGGTAACTGGTTATACTTATCTTGTTTATTTTCTTACTAGACTGTCGAATCTTGGACAGTTTATCGTTGTCACCGTAATACCCTCTTTTTTTTTTTGCAGGTTTACCACCCTAATATTGACTTAGAAGGAAATGTGTGTCTCAACATTCTTCGAGAAGACTGGAAACCTGTGCTTAACATTAACACCATTATCTATGGCTTATATCATCTGTTCACGGTATTTTTCTTAATCTCGATATAAAGATACTTCACTGTCACTCGTATAAAGTATTTAGCAGTTAGAACTTGTGATATTCTGCAGGAGCCGAATCACGAGGATCCCCTCAATCATGACGCAGCTGCTGTACTAAGAGACAACCCAAAGTTGTTCGAGTCCAACGTTAGAAGGGCAATGCATGGAGGCTATGTTGGGCAAACGTTCTTTCCTCGCTGCATGTAACATCTTTACTGATTGAAGAAGCTGATGGTGGAAGTTTGAGAACTCTGTAAAGTTTGGGTGCAAAATCATTTCAGGTGGTCTTTCTGCAACAGAATATGGGTTCAAATGTCTTAAAATATATGTAACTCGGACCAGAAAAAATTCTGTATGCTAAGTGTAAACTTTGCAATTTGTTTTTGGACAAGTTTATTGCGTTAGACCAATGGTGTAGACCTATGTTTTGGATTAACTTGTGTACAATCTGAAATTTTTATTCTATGGGAGATTCGAGCATGATAATTGTCTTATTAGTTCAGCTGCTTTTTTCCAAGGTAGACATGATCCCAAAAAAAGGAAAACTGTTTTTTTTATTAGATTTCTTGAGTTATTACTAGGGCTGTGTGTTTTGTGTTGTAGGTAGTCTATTAGTCTTGTTTTATCATGGGTTTGATGTCAAAACGGGAAACATTATTGGGAAATTGCATTATATAGCCGCTCCGAAAAAATAATAGTCGGCAAATTGTGTATTTTTGTATATTAATATATAAAATATACATATTTTATATAGCAAGCACATATTTTTTGAATGTTGGCTAACGAATGTAATTATTTTTGGCCTACTGGCCAAATGTGTAATTGTCCAAAATTATCCGAGAATAGTGACATAACATGGCCATGGCAGGCTAATTTTACTTAGGGGAAGTGCACAGTTAGCCACTAATAACAGATGTATTTACTTTTAAGCCACTGTTTAAAATGTCTTTAGTCTTTAGCCACTGCTTTAATAAACTTTAACTGCCTGGACGATAATACCCTTCTGCTCATTTCCTTAACTTTTGAACTTAACTTCAGGATTACATGTCCTTAACTTTTGAACTTGGTACTCTAAGTTCAGGACTTCAGGACTACATGTTCTTAACTTTTGAACTTGGAACTCTAAGTTCAGGGCTTCAGGACTACATGTCCTTAATTTGAACTTGTAACTATAAGATTAGGACTTCAGGACTACATGTCCTTAACTTTTGAACTTGGAACTCAAACTTCAGGACCAAGCGTCCTTAACTTTTGAACTTGTAAGTCAAAGTTAAGGACCTATTGTCCTTAACTTTTGATCTTGTAACTGTAAGTTAAGGACTGTCTGTCCTTAACTTTTGAACTTGTTAGTCTAAGTTCAGGACCAAGTGTCCTTAACTTTTGAACTTGTAAGTCTAAGTTCAGGACCAAGTGTCCTTAACTTTTGAACTTGGAATTCAAAGTTAAGGACTATAAGTGTCTTTAACTTTTGGAACTTGTAAGTCAAAGTTCAGGGCCAAGTGTCCTTAACTTTTGAACTTGGAACTCAAAGTTAAGGACCAAGTTTCCTTAACTTTTGAACTTGAAACTTAAAGTTCAGGACCAAGTGTCCTTAACTTTTTAACTTGTAACTCAAAGTTAAGGACCAAGTGTCCTTCACTTTTGAACTTGAAACTTGAAGTTCATGACCAAGTGTCCTTAACTTTTTAACTTGTAACTCAAAGTTAAGGACCAAGTGTCCTTAACTTTTGAACTTGGAATTCAAAGTTAAGGACTTATTATCCTTATCTTTTGAACTTGGAACTCAAACTTCAGGACCTATTGTCCTTAACTTTTGAACTTGTAACTGTAAGTTCAGGACCTATAGTCCTTAACTTTTGAGCTTGTTAGTCTAAGTTCAGGACCAAGTGTCCTTAACTTTTGAACTTGTAACTATAAGTTAAGGACTGTCCGTCCTTAATTTCTATGCTTGTAACTCTAAGTTAAGGACCAAATATCCTTAATTTTAGAACTTCCAACTCTAAATTCAGGACCCACGTAAAAAAAAAAGAGTTTTGATTCTTTGAAATATGAAAACTCAATTGGTAATCTGGCAACTGATCTTCCACTTCCAAAAAAAAGCGTAAGACCATTAATTTACTCCACAAAGTGTCTTCAAAACCTCTTTCAACAAATACCCCATTTGCACTAATTTTTGTTTGTGAATATCTCAAACTGAGAAAAGAGAAACACTTGTTTGTGTTTTCCTTTTCCTTTTCTTGTATTTTTCAGCTAAAAATTATAGATTAAATAAACTAATTTCTTCTGCAAGAGCCACGCCCAGCTTGTTTAGTTCTTAATCAAGAAGCCAATGTATTCGGTGCAGAGTGAGAAGCGGGGGTTTGAGAAGAAAAGCAATGGAAGAAAGGGTAAAAATATCTTTTCATATTAATTTTAATAGAGTAGTGACTATTTTTGCTCAACATTTGAATTGCTAGATAAAAAATAAATATCACCTTAAATAGTGGCTACCCTATGCCATTTCTACGTAAAAAATGACATTAACATCTTAACCTACACTATACAGATCCTAGTCGAAAGGCCGAAAAAGGTGTTCCTCGGGGTCCAAAGTTTAATATTAAGTAAAAGTAGAAATGGCATAGGGTAGCCACTATTTAAGGTGGTATTTATTTTTTATCCAGCAATTCTAATGTTGAGAAAAAATAGCCACTACTTTATTATAATTAATATGAAAAGATATTTTTACCCTTTCTTCCATTGCTTTTCTTCTCAAACCCTCGCTTCTCACTCTGCACCGAATACATTGGCTCTGGTTTCTTGATTAAGAACTAAACAAGCTGGGCGTGACTCTTGCAGAAGAAGTTAGTTCATTTAATCTATAATTTTTAGCTGAAAAATACAAGAAAAGGAAAAAGAAAACACAAACAAGTGTTTCTCTTTTCTCTGTTTGAGATATTCACAAACAAAAATTAGTGCAAATGAGGTATTTGTTGAAAGTGGTTTTGAAGACACTTTGTGGAGTGAATTAATGGTCTTATGCTGTTTTTTGGACGTGGAAGATCAGTTGCCCGATTACCAATTAAGTTTTCATATTTCAATGAATCAAATTCTCTCTCTTTTTTTACGTGGGTCCTAAATTTAGAGTTGGAAGTTCTAAAATTAAGGATATTTGATCCTTAACTTAGAGTTACAAGCATAGAAATTAATGACAGACAGTCCTTAACTTATAGTTACAAGTTCAAAAGTTAAGGACACTTGGTTTTGAACTTAGACTAACAAGCTCAAAAGTTAAGGACTATAGGTCCTGAACTTACAGTTACAAGTTCAAAAGTTAAGGACAATAGGTCCTGAAGTTTGAGTTCCAAGTTCAAAAGATAAGGATAATAGGTCCTTAACTTTGAATCCCAAGTTCAAAAGTTAAGGACACTTGGTCCTTAACTTTGAGTTCCAAGTTCAAAAGTTAAGGACACTTGGTCCTTAACTTTGAGTTCCAAGTTCAAAAGTTAAGGAAACTTGGTCCTTAACTTTGACTTACAAGTTCCAAAAGTTAAGGACACTTAGTCCATAACTTTGAATTCCAAGTTCAAAAGTTAAGGACACTTGGTCCTTAACTTGCAGTTACAAGATCAAAAGTTAAGGACAATAGGTCCTTAACTTTGACTTACAAGTTCAAAAGTTAAGGACACTTGGTCCTGAAGTTTGAGTTCCAAGTTCAAAAGTTAAGGACATGTAGTCCTAAAGTCCTAAACTTAGAGTTACAAGTTCAAAAGTTAAGGACATGTAGTCCTGAAGTCTTGAACTTAGAGTCCAAGTTCAAAAGTTAAGGACATGTACTAGCCTGTTTGGCCAAGCTTCTTTTTGGCCAAAAGTGTTTTTTTTTTTTTTGCCAAAAGCACTTTTGGCCAAAAAATGAGGTATTTGGCCAAGCTTTTGGAAGAAAGAAAAGTGCTTTTGAGGAGAAGCAGAAGCAGTTTTGGAGAAGCAGAAAAATGTAGCTTCTCTCCAAAAGCACTTTTTTGAGAAGCACTTTTGAGAAAAATACACTTAGAAGCAGTTTTTTAAAGCTTGGCCAAACACTAATTGCTGCTCAGAAGTGCTTTTCAAACTAATTAGCCAAACACAAACTGCTTCTCACCAAAAGTACTTTTGAGAAAAGCACTTTTGAAAAAAAGCACTTCTCAAAATAAGCTGATTTTTGCAGCTTGGCCAAACGGGCTAGTAGTCCTGAAGTCCTGAACTTAGAGTTCCAAGTTCAAAAGTTAAGGACATGTTAGCCCGTTTGGCCAAGCTTCTAAAATCAGCTTATTTTGGGAAGTGCTTTTCTCAAAAGTACTTTTTAAAAAAGTGCTTTTGGTGAGAAGTAGTTTGTGTTTGGCTAATTAATCAGAAAAGCACTTTTGAGCAGTAATTAGTGTTTGGCCAAGCTTTTGAAAACTGCTTCTAAGTGTATTTTTCTCAAAAGTGCTTCTCAGAAAAGTGCTTTTGGAGAGAAGCTACTTTTTTCTGCTTCTCCAAAACTGTTTCTGCTTCTCTTCAAAAATACTTTTTTTCCTTCCAAAAGTTTGGCCAAACACCTTAATTTTTGGCCAAAATTCTTTTGGCCAAAAAAAGCACTTTTGGCCCAAAAAAAAGCTTGGCCAAACAGGCCAAGTCCTGAAGTTAAGTTCAAAAGTTAAGGACATGAGCAGAAGGGTATTTTCATTTGGGCAGTTAAAGTTTATTAAAGCTGTGGCTAAAGACTAAAGGTATTTTAAACAGTGGTTTAAAAGTAAATACATCTGTTATTAGTGACTAACCGTGCACTTCCCCCATTTTTTTTTATAGAGACGATCCACTAAACTACCTTTGCTACCTAGGAAATATTTCTTTCTGTTTCTTTTTTTTTTTTTTTTTGTCTTCAAATATTCATCGTTTAATAAATTAAATTGGTTTATAATATTTGAGTTAAGAGACACATAATATGGATCAAATGTACTGTCTTACCGTTTAATAGGAATCTTTTTAGGCCCCGTTTGGCCATACATTTTGGCAACGTTTTTTCAATTTTTTTTTGAAAATATTGTTTGTTCATAGATTAATGATCTATTTTTGAAAAATTTCTGAAATTATTTTTTAAGTTCCCAAAATCTAGTTTAGTGTAGATTTTGGGTGAAACTTGTTCTCCCACTCACAAAACTTCAAATTTTTTTCAAATAAAATACATGTCCAAATATAATTTCAACTTCCAAAAATTATTTTTTAAACCTATTTCAAAAATGCCGGTACAGTGCCTATTCCTTATGACTTCTAGGCTTGTTGGCTTGACTCATTCGTCTTAGGGAGTTAGCTTCCTGTAGCTGGGTTTTAAGTTTCAACTAAATCTATGTCTAAATGTTAGCTTAGTCTTCTCAATTCGAAAATGAAATTTTGAGTCCGATGTAACAATTGACTGAACTGATCAGCTAATAATTGAGCTGAGCAACGGAGAGTAGGGACCACAATTACTTATGTGGCAGATATTTATTGGCTTGTTGACTGC